CGAGGAGATCGTTCGCAGTTTGGGCAGATTTCGGACTTTGGGCTTCTTCCGCAACAGGTTTGGCGTGCCGAGAGGATTTGCGTCGGCACTTCAGTTCGAGCGGAGGATCGTGATAGAGATTTGCGACGGTTGGAGGAGTCCAGCGAATTCTGCGAAGGACTGGGGAACAGGTGGTTGCTTGTGAACGGGCCAAAGGGGTGACTCGGCAGTTTAGGAAGGAATCTTTTAATTCCTAAAGGAATATTTCGGAAGCAAAGAAAAAAAAACTGCTGAAGGAAGGAGACACACCCTCCAGTCCGTGAAGGATTAGGATTCCAAACTTGCCTTTGGAAGCAGAAGCCACGGGAAAGGAAGGAGACTTATTTCCTGGAAGGAGCTCTGAGGGCTGCAAGGATTCACGAGTTTCAAAGAGGAGAGGAGTTCAGTTAGCGCGAACATGAGCAGTACGCAAATTTTGCGGATTGTTCACAAGACAGACGGCTCCCGGGAACGAACAGGTGCGAAGCAGTTTGGACAAAGGGCTACGACAGTTCGGCGAGTTCTGCTTCGAAGAGTTCGCGGTAGAGGCAGCGTCGTGGCTTCGAGGTGCGACAGTTCGCGAACCTTCGCAGCGTTAGGCGAGGTGGAGTTCGCGAACAAGAGTTTGCGTGCAAGTTACCGCGAACAGGAGCATTTGCGAACAGAGAAGTTCATTAGTGCTCTGCCAGTGAAGTTCACAAGTTCGTCGCAGGTGCAGTTGCGACAGGTAGTGCTCGGTCAGCGGTGTTCGCAAGTTTGTCGCAGGAGTTACGGCAGGTGCAGTTGCGACAGGTAGTGCTCGGCCAGCGGTTCGGCCAACGGAGTTCGCAAGTTTGTCACAAGTAGAGTTGCGGCATGTGTAGTTGCGACAGGTAGTGCTCGGCCAGCGGTGTTCGCAAGTGTGTCGCAGTGCAGTTGCGACAGGAGGTGCTCGACCAGCAGGAGTTGCGACAGGTCTTTGCAAGTTTGTCGCAGGAGTTGCGGCAGGTGCAGTTGCGACAGGTAGTGCTCGGCCAGCGAAGAGAGTTCGCAAGTTATTCGCAGGAGTTGCGGCAGGTGCAGTTGCGACAGGTGGTGCTCGGTCAGCGGTGTTCGCAAGTTTGTCACGGGTAGAGTTGCGGCAGGTGCAGCTCGGCCAGCGAAATTCGTAAGTTTCTCGTAGGTAGAGTTGCGGCAGGTGCAGTTGCGACAGGTGGAAGGAATCTCTATTATGAAGCTTTATGAGAGTTCGCAAGTTTGTCGCAGGAGTTGCGGCAGGTAGTGGCGGCGGGTGTTCACAAGTTTGTCGCACAAGGAGTTGCGGCAGATGCAGTTGCGACAGATGGTGCTCGGCCAGCAGAGTTCGCAAGATTGTCGCACGAGGAATTGCGGCAGGTGCAGTTGCAGCAGGTGTTCGCAAGTTTGTCACACGAGGAGTTGCGACAGGTGAAGTTCGACAGGTGCTCGGCCAGCGGAGTTCGCAAGTTTGTCGTAGGAGTTGCGACAGGTGGAGTTCGCAGGTTTATCGCAGGAGAAATTGTGACATGTGGAGTTCGGCTGGTATCCGCAGTATTTCAACCGAATTTTTGTGCGAATAGGAAATGTGTTTCGTATAAAAAAATTTGATTCAAGAATCATTGGAAACTGCGGGAAATTGATGCAAACTTACAGAGGAAATTTCAGGTTTATTTGAATTTATTTGTGGTGTGTGTTTTGTTTTATAAAAGACAGGTAAAATTCGCTGCAGGATTACATTCGAATGACAATGTCTGGTGCAAAATTCGAGATAGTGAAGTTTGGCGGAACAGGAAACTTCAAATTGTTGCAAACAAAGGTGAAAGATTTGTTGACACGAGGAATTTTTTTAAGACATTACAGGCTACGAAACCTGATGGTAATATCTATCAACTGTTGGGGAGTACAGTTGTAGGTGGAGTGCACTCTATCAGATAATATGATGAAAATGCAGCAGGTATGTTGATCAAGCCAGATATTTTCAACAAGTTCTTAGGTGACTTGAACTTATTGAATGTTAGCAGTTCCTAGTTGGCATGGTTGCCCAACCCACTACGGTGTAAGAAACTCCATGATGTATTTTCTCCTAAGGGTCTGGATATTCACCAAGGTGGAGAATTATTAGGTATGGCTCATATGTCAGGAATTTGGAGTCTCTTGAAATTGGAGAAGTGTGTCTCTTGGAATGAATATGTGTGTCTCTTCATGTGAAGAGGTGTCTCTTGGATTAGTGGGTTGGGGGGAGCGATGGCATGTTGGTAATTTATCTATGGGTTTTTTATATGTTTATATATATGTGTAGCCCTTGGGTATGTAACTTAACTCCCCCTCTGAAATAGTGAAATTTGTCGCTCGCTCCCGAGGATGTAGGCATCTTTGTCGAACCTCGTTAAATCTCTTTATTCTTCTTCTGATTTGTGTCGATTTTGTGATTGTTTTCCCTAAATTTCATAACATGTATGATGTGCCATATTACCTATTTGCTTGCCAACGCAATGGTGGAAGTGGTCAATCCAAAAACTTTTATGAAAATAGAATTGTAGATAGAGAATCTGTCAGCGCATAAAATGATCTATGCTAAACAGACAATCCAAGAAACTTCTCAATATTCACTAATCGCAAGCTAAATTCCCTGCAAAGCGGTGAAGAAAAAAGTTATTGTTATATGGTATATATATAAATAGAATGATCGACGACGAAGTAAAAAAGTAGAATGAGAAAATTTATACCAGAAAAGAACACACAGATTTAAGTGATTCGGCAAGTTGCATACGTCTACGGAGTTATAGAAGATTTTATTACTTGAGGAATGTACACTGTCAATCACGTCGACTTACAAGAGGGATCTCTCACTTGCTCTCTCTCTCTTTTCCTGCACCGTAAGCCAGGGAAAAAAAAAGAGAGAGAGAGAGCAAGTGAGAGATCGCTCTTGTAAGTCGACGTGATCGACGGTGTAAATTCCTCAAGTAATAAAATCTCCAGCAACTCCGTGGACGTAGCCAACTTGTCGAACTACATAAATCTGTATGTTCTTTTCTGGTGTGAATTTTCTCATTCTACTTTTTCACTTCTTCGTCAATCGTTCTATTTTTTATATATACCAAACCCCTCAACCTTTGTCCTTGAGCATCCAACCATGCTAACCACGACTATCGAGTTGGTGTATGATTTTCAACAGAAATAGCATCAAAAAAGCAAGAACCTTGGTCCCTAAATTTAGACCAGGTTGCCAATGAGGCCAGGGGGAGACTTTATTTTATAGACTTAATATTAAGGAAGATCTTGGAACAACGATAGTCGTGGTTAGCATGGTTGGATGCTCAAGGACAAAGGTTGAGGGGTTTGTGATCAAGTATGAATCTCAATGAGATTCTGATCGGTATCAATGGTAATAGAGAAAGAAATTAAAAAAGGAGATGTCACAACCGATTCATGAATTGTGACTTCTAGAGCCGTAACGAATTTGTCAGGAAAAAAGAAAGATATCTGCTATCTGAACTGCAACATAATGAAACATAAATTTAAGTACTTTCAGAGGTGAATCAATGAGAACACCAACGTTAGGATCCTCTTTCCTAATTAAACATTTCAAGCTATACAACACTTCAAAAAGAAAAACAAAGAAAGATAAAATGGAAAACTCACTTAATATTGTTCATCTTATCATCATGCCCAAATAAGTTATTTATAGAATATAATGTCGTGAGCTAATTAAATCATCCTAATTAATCCAATATCATTTACTAAACTAATTGCAAATGGATTCTCATGAACCACGCTTGTTAGTACCAACAAGCAGAACAATAGTGAAGATGACAAGCTATTCACATAGACGAGTAAGAAGAAAAAGATGCGAGTAAACTCTAACCAGAGCAGATTATGTCAAATTATATTTGTTTGGAAAAGCAAAAAAATAACATGAGAATTTGTTATAAAAATTAGACAAGAAGTCATTTTTCATGGAAAGGATAACTATAGGGAGGCTTCTTAAAAACTCTCAACAGTTAAAGCAAGCAGACGGAATCATCATAAAACACCTCAAATGTTCCTCAACCACGCCACACTTGAGCTGGTGGTTGGCATCAAGCTCCTTAAAGATTGTCACTCTCCTTCCTACCCTTTTAGAATTGCAGCAAAGCCTCACATGTCCACTACAGGCATGACAATCTCAACAAATATTAAGCACAAACAAGGATGAAATGGTCAGCATGCTTGCCATGACAAAAACAGACATTGATGAGACTTGGGCTTAGGATTCTTCTCAAGGGGCAACTCTGAATCCCACAAAAAAATTAAGGGTTTAGGGTTAGCTGAGGGTGCAATATCAAATATCGTAAAATGAGCACATAACATATAATTCTGTAAAATACTAGCAGATTGCAATCAAAACCAAAATCAAGATATTTACACTCGAGCAGCATACCTTAAGGAAAACTTCAGTCCAAGCATAGCCACATCCTTCTTCATTACACCATTAGTTCACAACAAGGGCTTCATCTCCTTTGCCGAAGGATGCGCATCTGAGTCCAACAGAACTCATTTATGCTGCTTTGCTCTTTACTTGCTGATAAGATCTGGGGATTGGAATGCTTAAAAAGATGAGGTTGGTCAGGAAGAGGCAGGATGAATAGCAAGCAACAGAGAAGGTCTTTATTTTAATTAAAACAAAGAAAGTTCGTCAGAAAACCAAGAGTGGCCGCTGAAATGCTATTTTTCTATTGGTTGGTCCATTACAGGACAATTGGAGAAATTCTGGCCCTCATAGGACCAAGGAGACCAGTGGAGGCAGCTGCCTGAGAAACACCGTAGAAGGAGAGTTCAAAAGAAAAAACTCATTTTTTCATGAAAGTTAATGTGCACACTTGCATTCACATAAACAAGAAATACAAAGAAATCATATTTAGCAACAAAACAAATCATTGCACAAAAGTTAAAAAGCCTCCAAGTTCATAAGATTCAATCACTCTATATTAAGGAGGAAAATTTTTTCATTCATAACAACTTTATGTGAATGTAGAATTCATACCTAGTGTGGTGCATCACACAACTTAAAGGACTAATAATACCTGTATTATAGCTTTAAATTTTACAAATTGGAATTTTGACAGCTTTAACCAAACGCAATATTTATGTTTAAGTTTTCAAAATCTGAGCCAAATGGGATTTCTACACGTTCTTTGACGAGGCAGCTGGCTTTCCCATCTTCAATCACCAATGCCTTACCAGGTGGACAATGAATCGATACATCTCTCACCTCACCTGCAGTCTTAGACAGGAGCTCAAAAAGATCATTTGAGGTATCTCTTTTTCTGATTTCCGGTCTAAAGCCAGTGAGACTCAAAACAGAAACCAAGCCCACAAAACAAATGGCTGATCTAGCAATAAATCCCAAAACAGATGCCATCCACTTTTGCTTATTATGGCTGGCTGGTTGAGCAGTCAGCTCCATGTACGATTCATTATCCCTATTATTTTCAGGTGTGGGGTCCACTGTAAAATCACTCTTAGATGGGTTGTTCTTTGAATCAAAATATGACGAAGAAGGAAGAAAGAAGACATCATCCTGCGCAACAGCCTCAGCAGCAAAAGCAGCAGCCTCATGGATGACTTCAAGATCATCTCCCTTGTACTCTTCTAGCTTGATGAACAATGTCTTGCGGCTATGATCAATTTGGGTTAAGACTACTTCCCTCTCATATCTTTGTCGCTGCTGCAAATCCTGTGAACAACAAATATTCAACATCAATATTTTTTAGGGGTTTTTACATATGGAGGTTCTTAAATAATGTTATTTACTAATAAAGGCTTTCAAAAACTATATTTACACATAATTGTCATGTATGTAAATTCCCCATGATTTTTTAACATCAATATCAAATATTTTTTGCCAAAAGAAAATAAACATTTTAAGGTTCTTATTTATTATTATTTTATTATTATTATTATTATTTTTGTTTTTATTTTTTTGCGTTCTCCTCTTGAAAGAACTTCAAAGTTGATATGTTTGGTATCCAAAATAGGATAAAATCGTGCATACTATTTTTATTATCGAGTTAGTTCAAGACATTGCAAAATTCTCTATTTTGTATTTGAGCTAGCATCTCAAGTTTCTTGCTACCTCCATCAAAGACATCTCATCAAAGAGTGTCTTTTCTAATCATTTTTGAGCCTAGAATAAGTATTTTATGCAAATTGATGTAAAAGGTACACTCAAATAGTGAATATTTAGCAGAAAAATTAAAATCATTTTTTTTTTGGAAAACAATGAGTTTCATGTCTATTATTTTCCAAGATCATCACTTGCTAATAACAAATTTCAATTGAAATCTTTCAGGAAGCCTAACCATTATTTCTGGATGATGTGCAAGTCTCTTAATTTTTAATATTAGCCCCTTATTGTTTGGATTTTAATATTTAAATTTATATTTAACAAGCATATATGGTGCATTGTGAGTAATAAAAATGCTTGATTTTATAAGTAGAAATATTTCATTGAATTATCCTAAGTGATGCCAAATGTGCTAGCCTCTGTAATTTGGAAAAAGAAAAGAGTCAAAATGGTTATCAGATTCTTTGCATGGGGCCACTTTAATCCCAAAGTGTCAATTTAGTCCTAAAGGAACAATATCAGTCACTATTAAAAGAATCTGAGAACTAATTTGACATTTCTATAGACTCTAGGACTAAAATAAACCCATGTAAATAATCGGTGAACTATTTTGTTACTTTACACATTTTGGAAATATGTGATAGGTTGCTCTTTCTTTACCATCAATTCCTTACAATTCAATAGCAACACATCAATTATACTAAACCAAACAAACACAATTGAAGTGGTTGGTGGTGTTAGCATCAATCTTTAATAATCCATTGTCTGTTTTGTGATATGATTAGACTCAAAATGGTTCCACAAGGGGGTTGAATTTCTTATAATATTAAAAAAAGGATTAATAACTTGGCATTTAATAGGGTTATCTGTGGAGATCATTTTGAGAGATGATTAATGTCAATTCATAGTGATCATTTGAGAGAAGATCAATGTCACTATAGCATCTCCATCTTAAAAAAAATTATAATGATCCTTTGATTTGTTTATATTTATATTACACTACGGATAAATATTGTCTATTTTGAGCCGATCTCTATTTTCAAACTTGTTCACGGTATCAATATCTACTTAAGTGTAAGCATTTCTCCATAAGGTAAATTTTTTCTAAGAGGGAGATCAAAATACAAGATTATCAATTTTAGGCAAAGTTAAAATTTGAAGCCATTATAAGAGAAGCAAATCCAAAAATCTTTAACCATTGAATATGTAAATTGTGTGCCTTGATGTTGTTCTAGTTATCTTCTTTTTTCTCAAGTTTGTTTTGAATGTAAAATGACTGTGATGACGGTGACAGAGTCTGGGATGTGTTCTCTACTGTTTTGAGTACCTCGATGGATTTGGTTTATTATTGCCAGTTGTCATTTTTTACATGTATTCCTTCCAGCTATGCATTTATGTTATATTTTCCAAATTGTATAGAAATGATAAGAGATTGACTTAAAAGTTCAAAAAATAATTCAAACTGATGTCTTTTGTTGTTATGTTATAATACTAACAAATTATATTGTTTCATATCTACAATACAAAGTTGAGGTAGTTTGTCAAGTACTTACTCCATTAGCAGATGAAATAATTAAGAATTTAAAATGGAATTAATATTTTCTTTATTGCTTTAGCTTAGCATGTAATATATTGAAGGTTCTTATCCATGCAAATGATTACTAATGTGCAACGAAACTTATTGGCCATGACATGCATCTTTCAAGACACAATATAGATCTGCTTACTTACAAGATGAATTATTAAAAAATTATGCCTAATTGTAAGTGATCATTTAGCAAAATGAATCCTAGCTACACGCAGTTGTGGTACATAGAATTTAAGAGTACAAATTTTACAGTAAAACTCCCTGAGGACTGTGTTGATCATCTTAGGAACTATGCGTGATTGGGATGATAGCAATACAAAGAAAAAAGGGCCCCATTACTTGAAGGTAGGTTATAACCCAAAAGAGTTGTGTTCATTGGTTTTCTGAATTAACCGCTACTCTGATCAACCTGATGCCATGATGTGGCAGATACATATATAATTAGTTTAATAACAATGAAAGTGATTGTGCGATGTCAAGAGACAGCTAAAGCTTAGCATATAAGCCTAGAATTAGTTAGATGAAAACTGAGAGAAACTCCAGGAGAAGTACCGCAAAGTACATGGATCAATAAAGAAATGCGTAGTATAAGCTACACCACAGTAGGATTAAGTATCAACAAATGAATAAGATGCAAATATAACCATCAGAGTCATGGGGTCTGTAATCACATCAAGGTGAAGAAAATCGAAAATCATGATAAAATGCAATATATAAAACCCAAAATTCTGCTAAAACAACAACTTTAATAGGCTTGCTACTTTACATCATTAGAATAACAATTCATGAAACTATAGGAACATAAAACTAGCAAAATTCAAACCAAAGTGCAGCATTTCTGCAAGACCAGAGTCTTAAAATGCGTCAGTACCAATCAGTTGTCATTCCCTGCTCTTTAAGTTAAACCTAGAGAACACTATTGGTGCGACAGAACTGAGGAAAGGCTGATACCTGCAAGGAAGCAAGTTGCTTCTCCAGGGATTCAAGGGCTTCTCTGATGCCGACGAGAATCCCCTCTTCATCACACTCCCTTCCAATTTCATTATCGCCGCTGCGGTCAATTGCGTCGGTTATCTTGAGGCGAAGCCGCGATGCGCGACTCAGCATTAAACCTATCTTCTCATCTCCGACCATTCTCTTACAGCTCGCTCTCTCTCACTCTCGCTCGCTCTCTGAGAAATAAGAAGTAAATTTTAATATCTTGTAAGTCTTAGTTGAAAATTTATGCATATTATTTTTTTTTTTAATTGGGGCATTTACATGGCTATCTTTCAATTTTTCTGTATTTATATATTCCAAAATTACATTTTCACATTTACCCACCATCTGCTCAATTATTCCCTATCACATGTTGAATTTGGGTGAGAGATAGATAAATAAATAGGAATTCTTAGGGACATAAATTTAGTTTTTTTTAAATGCAACTGAATCTTGTTTTAGTTAAGAAAATATTTTGCTATTGAAATTAGGGCTGGAAGAGAACTTAAATATGACTTAGAGTCTGTTTGAGGTAGCTTGTGCATTTGAGGATAAGCTGTTTATCCTGAAACGCGGCCCGCGAGCTGGCTGCAGGGGTCGACCCGCGACCTGCGTTTAGTGTAAAAATCTAAACGCAGTTTTGGATAAGCTGACAAAACGAGCGAACCAAACGGTACGGCAGCGTTTTCAAAACGCCGCCCGCACTTATAAGCTGCCCCAAACAGACCCTTAATACAAAAAAAGTGTTTTGATGTAAAATGATAAATTGCAAACTAAAAGAGCTTAAGTTAATATTTAAAATTTCTTATAATTACATTAAAAGAATTTAAGTGAAAGAAGAATATTCTACAACAAACTTACAAAGAAAAAAACTTGTATTGAATCATGCTTTTATATCGACAATTAGTCATAATCATATAAAAGCAAGATTGATATCTGACAATCTACCTAAAACATTCTTACTCATTCAATCACCATGAAATCCATAACATTCTCGTGCGATTGAACAAAAGGTGATGTCGAAGGCATTCAAATTGAAATATTACGCTTGTTTTAATGCTAAAATGCTCATGCAAACTTTTAAAACTTGCGATGATTTGAAAATCTATATGTTTCTTGTGATTATTTTAATTAAATTGTGAACCTCAAAGTATTTGTAAACACGATCAGATTTGTGTAAAGGCCTTAAAAAAGGCTGAGTTACTTCACAAAATGTGTGCCTCAACAATTGTCTCTTCAAAATATGCACGTATTTCATAAAGATAATCTTCTTATGCATCAAAATGTGTGCATAGGCGATGTCTAATAAAGACGTGTTGTTAGTAAATAAGATTGAATTTTCATTTAAATGAACAAATATTAATATCAAGCATATGAGAAACTTCAAACCTCATTCCTTAAAGTCTTTGCAAAATGAGGGTGATATTTATGGGTAATGTTTTATCTACAATTTAATCTTCTAAAAATTTAAGCTAAAACCTCACATAACATTTTTCAAGGAGAGCTAGGGTGTGAATTTTCAGAGCTCGTATAATGGTTAGTTGACTTAGTGGCTATCCCGATAGAAAATACTTTGTAGCCTAAAAATTAGCCAATATATATATCGAAATCTAATGGATATAAACATTAATTGCTACTAAATATCAAATGAAGATTGATGACAAATGATAGAGGTTGGTTAACAATGGTCCTTCAACTTAGTCATTTTCTTAGGAAGATGGAAAGTTAAACAATTAAAAAGTCGAGTATCACGCAATTTTGGGTATCAAATAGTGGATATCAAATATTAATTATTATTAAACATCAAATGAAGACTAATGAGAAGCAATAAAGCTTGGCCAATACTAGTCAATCTGCTTAATCACTTTCCTAGTTAAGAGATGAGGCCCTGCTAAAGTCAAGTATCACATAATTATGGATAATATACAATAGATTTTTATCATTAGAGGGTGTTGTGTGATGGTTTAAGTGGAACAATGAAGGTCAGATATGGGGGGTAGTCAACATAATTATATTGCACATAAAAGAAGAAATTAACAAATGGTTGTAAATCGATAATAAACATTAAGTAGTTGATTGATAAGGGAAATTAGAAATGAGGTGATGATGTATAGTTAGCTTGGCCCACTCTCTAGATACAAAGAGAGATTAGGCAACCAGAAAGATGAGTGTTGGATGTCAGTGGCTAACAAATGACAAACATCAATCATTGATAATTGTTAGATAATAATCAATAGGAACCATCAAATGTTAGGTAATATTAAGCAATCTACTTGATTATTCTCCAAATAAGAATGAATGACCAATTGGCCAGTGATACTAATATTAGACATCAATGGTTGATGATGCCAAATGTTTGTCATTACAAGGTGTCAAGCCACAATTATGTAGGAATGTCTAGGGTGAGGCAATAAACAGGTGGTAAATTTACTTTATCAATGGGGATAAAAAATAATCAGGAAAACATATTGCTTAGGTTAACGGCTAGTGAATGTTGAGTTTTGGGTATTGGTGGTACTCAAACAGTGATCAATGGGAGTTCTCAAAAGTCAGCTAACAATACGCAGGTAGTGATTATCCTTATAAAAAGAAATGTGGAACTAAAAAAATGGGTTTACAATTTTGTTGACTTATAAATATTAATGATTATAAGATGTCCAATAATGGTCAATGGGGCATTGGAGATTGAGTAATAATAAACAATAGCTTGGTCACCCTCCAAATATGAAGGCGAACTTAGAGACCATGAAGTTGGGAATTTAATGTCAGTAGTATAAGTTGATGTTAAAAGTTGTCTAACTAAAAAACACACATAGAATATCAGTGACTCATGGGCAACATGTGTTGGGCATTTCTTGACTTCGGAAGATATACAACAGAGAAGCTTGAATGTCAAATGGCATTGAAAGACTAATTTGGTTGTTGTTTAGATAGGAAGACAAATTAGATAATCATGAAGATGATGTCGAACATTTGCAATTGATGAGCATCAAACATTTGTCATTGGTAAACATTTAAAAGGGATATTGACAATTAAGCAAAAACAAGTAATCACACACACACACACACACACACACACACACACACACACATATTAGGGAACTTGAAGGGAATTTTATGAATCACAAAAAAAGATTGCAAAAATCAGTTAGAAGTCCAACTAAGCTCAAAATACAAAATGCAGAAAGCAAAAGTCTAAACGATCCTCCATCGAGAGGTAGAAACACACCCAAAAAAAGTCAAAAAAGGCTATAATATTATTGTTTTCTCGGTTCTTTTTAAAGCACTTGGAGTTGTCAGCTTATATATTTATATGTCGTCATATAATTCTCTTATTCAAATAAATCTCTCTCCTGAATCATACCATGATTCGAAGAGGAAATGAATAAAAAAGAAGGATATATAAAAACAAATAGACAAACAAATGAAAAGAAACAAACGAAAGGCTTATATATGGGTTATTATCGTGTGATGGGTCGAAAGTATACGTCGAACATGATCTGATCAAAGTACCTCGAAACACAACATCCATAAAGAGAATCCTTACATAAGCCACATTAACCAAAAAACCAAAAAGAACATTTTTATTTTGAGATCAAGAGTCTTCCAAAGAAATGTATCCCCTAGTTAATTACATCCCGAAGTATACTCATGAATACCTTTGATAAAAAGAGTTTCGCTTATATTATCATGAACCTAGAGAATATGTCATTAAAGGATGATTATTTCGCATGGGAATGCCCCGATGCTTCAAATCTCTTGCTAAGCCACAAGGCAGAGAGTGAGTCTCTGAGTGAGTCTCTCACATCAAATGGGTAGCGACTAGTTAGTATCAGAACCTATGAAATAACCAAAATTATCTCGATGAGAATATTCATATACTTCATAGCTTACCAAGCCATAAGGGCAGAGAGTGAATCACCGTAAACCAAAGGAGCGAAAGCTCATCCGTAATCGGGTCATCAAGATGATATCAAATAAGTTAAAAGAGCTACAGGGCTCAAAGGGGCTCAATAAGATGAAGGGTAGAGTAATTTTAAAATGTAGAGGTAGCCGTGTCAGAGTACCACGAACTCATCGTCCAAAGCTAATAGGACCCAAAGTCTACCTAATCTTGAAGGTAGTGGACCCCACACATCCAGATCCCCCGTCATCAATCCGTGAATTGCATCATTTATGGGGATCTAGTAGCCCTAAGTTCAAAGGAAGGAAATTCTATCTATATCCTTGAATTTGCGTGGCTGAAGAAGGTTGTCATACATCGAAGTGAATTATCTCAAAAGGATAACAATGATGATTACTAGAAGAAGGAAAACATATTTTGTGATGTTTGATGTTTAGAAAAAATGTAGACGTTACATATAGTAGGTTTCTTGGGTATACGTAGAGTAGGATTCTGCTTTGAGATATGGAAGAGAGCATTGTTGTAGACGTGGTCAAATCTTTGATGCTAGAACTCAACGGCCTTGGATATTGAGATCATTACTTGCTTGGGAGGAGGTAGGTTGATCAGATAGAGGCCATTACAACAGGGTCCTTGAAGGAGAATACGTTGGGAGATCTGATCCTTGATTTGGTAGCTAGAGGAGAAAAATAAGAATAGTACAGTTATTATCACAGGCAAATTGATAGATAAATATGAGATTGTGTGAAATGTGTGGAGTATGTAAGAGATTTAAGAGAAGTAGCTTACGAGCGGGTGTGGGAAGTGAACCTTGGCCTTGGTTTTATATTTGTTCCTGCCAGTGATAAGGGGTGCGGTGTTAAAGGACGGTATAGCCTGTCGTGAGATGATTTGATGCGTCGATGTCCAAGTACCATGCTTGGTCGGTGGAGGAGATTGCAAACATTGCTGTAGGAGCAGAGATTCTGGGTTGATAACCGAGATTTATTTTATGTCAGCACTGCAAGGGGGTGTGACTCTTCTTAAAGCAGATTTGACAGATTCCATTGCTCCCTGATTTGGGTTGTTTTGTGTCGATTCACTTGTCCGCCAGATGTGTTGTCGACCTCTTCCTCTAGAGCCACTATGACCACGACCTCGTTGGGAGTAGAGTAGAATGTATATCTAATGGCTGCGAGTGTGTTGAGTTATCGAAGGAGAGATTAATTTCTTCGTTGTTAAGCAGGGAGTAGGGTCATCCAAACTAAAGGAAGCAAGTGAGGTTCTTATTTTTGTCTTGAAGGCTTGATATGCAGGGGGAAGGCCTTTGAGGGTATATAATATAATGTTTTTTGTGTCGACAGATGATCCACAAACAGAGATAACACTTTGATTGGACGGAGATGTTGGGACATTGTTTGATGTCCAACCGAGACGTGTAGTTAGTTTTTGAGCTGAATTACTCTAGATCGATTAGTGACTTCTAGGCGTCTTTCCGAGAGTAGCCAGATCTCACGACAGCCGTCTCAATTGATCACGTAGAGCAGAAAAGAGCTAGAAATGGTTGAAAGGATGACCGCGACGAGGTGTTGATCAATTAGCGTCTAGGTCTTGAGAGCAAGGGTGTTTGTATCGGTACCCGAGGCGCCATGGGAGGGGTTGGAAGATCTTGGAATAGTTCCGTTGATGAAACCGACAAATCCATTTGCTGTGATGATCTTCAACATTTGCAATTTCCACAGGTTGTATTTGTCGGTGGCGAGAGAGATGGTTACCGCTGATTTTATGTTGGATACGATTAACTTTATGTGGGGGGGGGGGGGGGGGGGGGGGGGCCTCCTTTTTAATGGAAGTGAGTGCCTAGCTGAGGTCAGATGTGGCTGAATCGTCCAAGAGTGTACTGAGCTAGTTGAGCTCTGATACCATGAAAAGTTGATGCCTGCTTGAGCAGCATGTGAGTCAGAATAAAGGCAGGGAAAGGTAAAGATGAGGTAACGCAAGAAGGAAGAAAGGACAGGGAAGATCCTTTCCAATTCCAGCTTACACTTGTGTAAAGTGAGTGCACCATATAAAGTTGAAGAGAAAATTCCAGAGCCAAACAGTTATAAAAGTACAACAGTAAAATGGAAAAACAGAAAATGGTGAAGGGGCTTGCTGTACTCAGACGGTGGAGTGCTGCCCTTGCTATGCTACGTTGAGGTTTGTCCTATCTCGATTATATAGGATTATTTAAATTAATATCTTTCCTCTGATTCAATCCTTCAAAGCAAAACTATCCTAGAACACAATTCACAGCAAAATTTATAAAACTCACTATTTCACTTAATCTTTACCCAAAAATACAAGAAATTGGATAGATTTTATATACAAAGAGCTCCTCGCTAATCAAATCACAGTAGTTCACTTTACATCAAAAAAAAAAAAAAAAAAGATTAAAAAAATATATTATGATTTAGTCAAACAATCTGCGGATTTACCACTTCTTTTGACAACAAGTAACGAAATTTTAAGTTATGAGGAAGCCACTCAATGATCTTATGAGATCTTCCTCTCTGACATCTCTTGATAGCCACGCAAAGAGTCTCAGGAAGATGCCGCTGGATCATATCAACAACCTTCTGAGAACTCATACAACTATCCTTCGCATAAATCTCTATCAACTTAGGTAGAAACATCTTCTTCTCCTTCTGAATGCCGACCGTTGCTCTGATGTACTCTGCTTTCGCTGTTTCTAACTGCTCCAACCATTTGTTTGCACTATAAATTCTGACCTGGAAGAGTGAATTAAAGAGCAAATAGATGCATGAAAAAGTTTGCCATGATTTCATTTTTATGGACATATGGGCTCATATGCAAATGAAATCTTACTGCAGGATCAGAATGGCTTCCTGAACATAGTGCAAAATGTAGGAGAGGTTCCTGTTTCTCAATGGCATAGAGCCTTTTCCATTCATCTCTAGCCTTAAATTTCATCACTGGAAGCATAAATGTTCTAAACCACTGAAAATAGCAGAAACTTAAGCCGTAAGTACAGAAAGTTGGTGCTTGAAATAATGCTTAGAAGGTGTTCATCATATTTGGTTCAAGAAAGTGAGAGCAATCAGATGTTTCTACTGCAGCTATTATACTGGTAAATCCTACTATCCTTCTTTATCAAATATGAAGAAAATTTGGTGACTAATTTGGTGACTAATTTGGTGTCTAATTTGACACTTTTTTAGACTCTGAGACTAAAATGACTCCATGTAAATAGTCAGGAGACTATTTTGACAATTTTCTCCTTGATTAAATAGGGACAAGCGTCATAACAAATTGCTTAGGAATTTCATTTCACATAATGGATAAGAAAAAGAAGTGAACCTGGCCTGCCCAATGCGTGCGGCACCCTAGAAATGAACTTTGTATCATGTCGGCATTGACGGAATGACCCCCTACAATGCATGTGGCCTAAATTCAACAAGGTAGAAGTTGAAGCAAATTCATATGTTAGCACCATAACATTATGCTACTTCTGTTTTGTTTATGTTTTTCATTCAAAATCTTGAACCAACAGACTGCCTACCTTGATTAGCAGTGAAGTCCTTTTCATACTACTTTGAGGAACTCCATAAACCAAATAAGCCTGAAGTTTAAAAAAAAAAAAGCTAATATATCTTCAAGAAATTTCAACATGTAGCTGATATATCTTTTACACATAAAAAGGTAGAATATTTACATGCATTATCAAAGCATTGTTTAAATTAACCCAAAAGGGCAGCTTTTCATCATTCTTCATCCTCTTTACATTGACAGCAGCCAATTTATGAATAAGAGATCTGAACAAAATTGATTGATTTATAATCACCAAATTAACAAAATCACCAGAGTAAAACAAAACAAACTATCTTACTTGTAAGAACCAAGCAATTCTTCAACAGTCTTCAAACGCTGCTCATCATTTCTAATGGAGGAAACTTCCACCATAGAATTATAAGGACCGCTAAACTCTTTCAAGCCCTCCACACGAAAAGGATTTACGAGTCGTGTATCAAGAATCGTTTCATTTCTGCACCCAGGACTCCACAGATCACCAGCACACTGAGGAGAAATTGCACTCATGGAAGATAATGATGAAGTGGGAGAAGAAGATGGGCCAGGATTCAGCAGAGGAGGATCTGCAAGTTTAATGTATATAGCACCCATACACTTAACCAGATCTTCAGAAATTTTGTTTGCCGTCTCAGCAACATGATCAGTGATGCCTGTTCCAAGATATTCCGCAAGGCTTAACATGCCAGAATTTGAATCATGCCAATCCTGAGTTCATAGCAATATAATTCAGGGTTGAATTCAGAAAATGTGAAAAGAAATTGTTAGTAAGGTTAGAGTGGTTACTGTAAGAAATGACAATGGCTGTGAATCACAATCCTGAAGAGCTCTAGCTAGTGCTGCTTCCGAAGAAGAAATTCGAGATGAATAAACTGTGCGCTGATTTAGAGCAGAATGACAGCGATTAACGTTGCGATCGGTGATGTTTTCAGGGTAGGATTCATCTGCTAACTTGCAGGCTGAGATTTGAGATGGAAGAATTCTGGTGGAGTGAACTAATGGAAAGATGGTTTTAGATGAGATTTGGGGGCTTGGAAGCTCATGAAATGGCTTTCTTTGATAGCCAACTGGGTGTTTTGATTTAGATTTGGAAGGAATGAGAGATAAAGTTGGGATTTGCTGATCGAAAGCTTTTCGATAGAGTGATAGAAGATGCTGCTCCAAGTGCATGACTTCTAGTTCTAACACTGCAATCTCTCTTATTAACTCCTTGGCTGGCTGATAAATAAGAAGCTTGCAGAGATATTAATCAACATGAAGTTAGAATTATACCAGACAACAAAAGTAGTAAATCAAAATTTGATTTTTTTTTTCTTTTTTTTTTGACAAACAACACATGGATAAGGTGATGTCACAATATCAAAGTATAACAGTCTCAATACTTTTTTCCTTTAATAGACCACATTTTCATAAAATCTACAAGAAACTCAAGTTAAAACTCTAGATTCACAAGGACTTTATATGAATAAGAAACAAAGGAAAATTTTTAAAACTATTTTCAGTATTATTGACAGTAAAATAAGGAGAAAATTTCAACCTTGGGGGTGAAACTGTTATTTGAGGAATCAATTACTGTTTTTCTATAGCCCAGTGCTTTCTCTAGCATAAGATGTGCTTCCAGTTGATCCTTGAGCCGTTTTTCCAGTTGCATAATCTGCAAAAAACGATAGATTTACATATAAGTTGGAATTTACATATCACAGCCTACTTATTGTGTTTGAAAATGATAGAATTGTAGATCAAAACTTTTGGTAGATTAATAATCATCAAAGATACATAAAAAAAAGCTATTTAATTTGGTTCAGTCATGATCCTATCAATATTTAATAAATAATAAGTGATTTATCCATAAAAGGCTCTATAAATTTAATCTCAACAAAAATTTAATAATTTTAAGAATCATTCTAATAGAGTTCATATCAGAACATTTTTACACCATTTTTATGTAAAAGCATGAATTATATATATATAAACAACGTAAGGTGAGATAACAGATAGAAAAATATATAATTCAAGGTAATTTTATTTTAATAATGAAGAAATTATAATTTAAGAGAGACAGCTTTCAACCACTGGATTCCTTCACATCAGACCAATCTAATAATTACACTGCTATTCCTTTTCCTTCTTAGGTACGCGGACGCTTGACCTCTGCATAAGAAGACAAAGGCTTCCACGACTTCGCACTACCACTTGCATCAATCAAATAAAACTCAGATTTTTTTTAAATTTATATCATTTTATCGATACTTAAAAATTATATTTCGCTTTTTTAAATTTAATAAATCAAAATTTAAGTACAGGATATATGAATACATGAAAATTATGTTGTGCGGAGCCTGATTGGAAGTCTAACAGAGCGGTCCTAGTGCTTGGTTAGACGCCCACTTCGGGTGCCCCCTGGCCTTGGATCCGTGGCACCCATTCCGGGTCAGCAGCTCTAGATTCCTGACTCTAACACGAGCAAACGGAAAGGCAGCGCTTAGGCGCCATGGGCAATTTGTATGTCGTTTGGGATCTAACCCCTTCACGAAACATAGTAAGCAGTCTCTCTAACGCATTGTAAACCCTTGAAGGGGCTTTATGTGGAGCACGAAATTAAAATTCAAGAGGTGGATTTCAGTGCGTAATTTCTCTTGTGTGATTAAGAGAGAATTTAAAGCAGAATTGTTTTAAGTTTCATTAGTGCTGAGAGAAGATCCTGGAGTGATGTAATCTTTTAAACATTTTTATAAAAATGTAATTTTTTAAATATTTTTACTTTTATAGTGAAATTTTTGGTGTGGTGCGGCTTTGAGATTTTTCATTCTCAAGATTTTTTTTTTACATTAAATCTTAGTGTGTTTCTGAGATTTTAATTCTAAATCAATCCAACCTAAGTTTTCATCCCAACAAAATTATGAGTTATGTATGCAAATGACCACAATACATAGTGCATGCTTAAGAATTTTTAATATCAAAAGTTAGCTTAACAGCTGCCCAAAAAACATATATAACATTTAAAATTTATATATTAACAAAACTAACAATAACTTCATTTCTTTTTTTTTTTAATTCTGTGTACTTGTACGTGCCACAATTAACTTGTTAAAATTTTGGCAAAAACAAAAAATAAATTTAGATTAAACAAGCAAGCAACCCTTCAGCGTATAATGTACCTCTTGCTTCAATACGCCTTGAGCCTTCTTAGTATGAATCAGCTTCTTCTCTGCATCAATGTCATACTCTCTGTTCTTCATATCCTTCAAATCAGAGGCCATGAATCAGTCTATCACTTGTGTTCATTTATAAGAGAAATAAATGAAGCTTAGAAACTTGAAAGCCTAGTTTTTTTTTCCTTTTTATCCATTATAATTTTTAAATGCCACTCACGAGTCAAATTCACAGAAAAAAAAAGAAAAGGAACAGAGTTCTAAAATAACAGAGTTCATTACTTAGATCCGAGCTATGAAAAGTAGAAAAAAAAAACAAAAATAAGAAGCTTAATTACCTCCTTCAAACCACAAGATGTGGATGGAGATTCCAGTAGATCACCCTTGCCTCTATTGTAAATTTCACTATCAAAGCATAAAATAATTTACAAACATATGCAATCAAAATTCCATCATTCTCCGTTCTCCACAGATCAAAAGAATGTACAGATCTACCTTCTCGTGCAAACAGAAGCCTACCTCTTGGATCTCTTATGCCTTGAACATGCTTCCATGGCTTTCAGCTCAAATCTCTGGCTTCTCACCTCCTCCATCTCTATACCTTATACTCAAAGCTCATTCTGTTCCCAAAAAAAAAAACAAAAAGAAAAAGGAAGAAGATGAAGCTAACTCCCAACTCCACTCTCTTCTCACCACATTACTTCAACAGCAAAAAATAAAAATAAAAATTATTTTTTTATAGATAAATCTGTGATGAACTTACTAAAGCCTGAATGTCAGAAGTTTCTCCTGTAAAAAAAATACTATTCCGCAGCTGTTGAAGAAGCTGAGCTCCCACCAATTGTGCTCTTATAAGGTCAAGAGCTCAGCCATGTGTTTACTTGGGCATTGGCTTATTGGAGAGTGAGTCAACTATATTATTTGATTCTGATACGTGATAAAATATTCAAAACGGAGGTCCTTTCAAGCAAAGTAGGAAACAATTAATGTGCTTTTCGTGGACCCATGCGCAAATATAATGCCGTTTAATAAAGTTAACGAACTGTGATGTTGTAAGAATTCTTACTTACTTAGTGCTAGATACTGTATTGTTGAATAACTTCTTAAGATTAACAAGTTTTTTGACCGGATTGGGTGGCCTCAACATTTATTGCTTTTGTCCTTTGCAAGATCAGTTATTACAATTCTGTAAAGTTCCTCTTTTTTTATTACAGATTGGGAATCAGTTAAAGCGTTTAGCTGATGATGGAATCAATTCGTGGATAAAATTTTTAAAATATTTAGTAATACGAATGCGCTGTAAAGACAATTTGAGACGTCTCATGCGTTTGGCATAATTTTTTTTCATAATTTTAATGTAAAAATTATATGCATGGTGGACGGTAGAAACAATAAGCTAGATTACTGGGCATTAAAGACAAACAGGTTTTGTCTAAGAGAATGTTTAAGAACCTTTCAAAAATGAAAAAAAGACGAGTAAACAGCCCTCAAAAGAATCTAAACTGTTAAAAGCATACAAGTTGTCCCTTTTTGTTTGTGATTTTATAATTGGGGCATTTACATGCATGCCATTTAGTTCCTGATTATTTAAACTTTACTCTTTTTACATTTATACCTTCCAAATATTTCATACCACATAAAAAAATTGAAGCATTTAAGAAGGAACTATGCATTTTTCATGCACAGGCAAGGAGGCATATGTCTAAATATTGAAGATTAAGTGGTATGTATGTAAATCCTGCTTGAAATAAAAAAGAATACCTCAATTGTCCCCTATCTAAAGTGGCAACTGTTTGTCCAAGAATCCATAATTAACAGAGGTGGATGTGGGTAGCCTTTTGCAGCTCCGATGTAAGGAAAATGTTGGCAAGTTTTGCATAAAAAACCTTTCTTTTCTTCTCCACAAAAGAAGGAAAACATGCCTAAAAAGTCCTGCCTTTTTAAAGGCTCCATTGGGTCTGTCAGATGGAGAACTCAAAGCTGGCTTTGTATGTTCAGAGCATTCTATGAAACCTTTCTATTTGTTCTAACGCAAATTAAGCGTTTATTTGTCGATTGGATGTGGCAGATCCACCTTTCTTTTTCGCAAATACTAACGCTAGAAAGTGGCTGTGGTTTTAGTTGATAATTGAAAGGTTTAGTTGAAGTTTTTGCGGTTTTCTTTTTCCGGGCATGGAAATAAAGTCATGGGGGGGTCTTTATTTTCTTATCTTTTTCATACTTTGGTCAGACTTTCAAGGTTTGCGCTTTTATGACTAGTGCTTTATGACTTTTAACAACTCTCTTTAGGTTATTTACAAATTTTAATAATAGAGATTATATATATATATATATATATATATAGAAAGTAAATTTAGTGTAAATTATTCACTTAGTTTTTATGAGAGAGATGAGCGGCAAATTTTAGGATTACATGCATATGGCTCTTTGAATGGTCGATTGACATCAAGCTTTTTTTTTCTTTTTTATTTGTATTTGTTGGAGGAAAAGTGAATAATTTTAAGCGATGTTTAATAGCACCTTATTAACAAGATTTAAGTCAGAGTTTGTCTGGATTTATTGTAAATCCAGGCATGCAAACATAAAAAATAAGGGAATTATATTTGATGTTTAGTTACATCTTATTTACTTTAGAATTTAATCGTTCGCGCCAAACACAAAAAAAAAAAAAAGTTTTTTGAATTCAATATTTCATCTGTTATGACGAAAATTCTAGATTTATTGAATCCGATTATTAGGTGAATTTAACTCATTTAAGTGAGAAAGAAAGCACATTTATGGGTTCATGCTTCTCTGGTCAAGAGACTCTTCAAAAAGATTTGATTAAATTTAACCTTAATCGAACAAAACAATTTTTTGGATTCAACCCTTTTGAATATGATAAATAAATTAAATCCTGAGTGTAGCTAAACAATCTCTTAGAAAATCCGACTGAAAGATGGATTCAACAAACTTGTGTTAAAATGAAAGACTTGTTATCTCGTCGCTTCTTTCATTGCATCCGAATCTAATAAATACAGATTTTTTAAGGTTTAATGAATCATTTTTAACGTAAAATTCTGGATGCATTCAAACAACCTCTTAAGATGTCAAATTTGAGTAATTATGCAATTCCATTTCTTATTCAAGACAGCCCTAGATAATTATTCAATTCCATTTCATTTTACTATGTTTGATAGCTTTTATTGAAAAAAATAAATAAAAAAACATCAAAATAGTTTGAATTCTAACAAATCGGACAGAGGTCCTATACAAATTGATTGTTGTATTGAACTGCAACAAACAAAATGAGTAATTATGCAATTGAATTATGGTACAAATCTGGGTCAAATATCGAATAGTGATAAAAGCTTTGCACTTAAATGCACTTCTTTTGAATTCAATGGTCCCATACTAAAGCATCCAAACTAAATTTCTTAATTATTATATTTTCATTATTATCAATTAATATTTAAAGGGCATTGTCTATTTTATCTCAAAAATTTTAATTTGATTTTTTTTTTTTTTTTTTTTTGAAAATGATGGGCTGTTGATCGTTAAATGCATGATTTGAGTTGATGAATTTCTAAAGGTAAATCCCTCTTTAAATAGGAGCATTTACATACATACCACCCAATGTTTATGCATTTACATATCTAACGTTTAACATTTGATTTATACATTCATACCACCCAAATCTTTTATATGATAAATAATATAACTATATTAACTTTTAAAAAGTAATTCATCTATTGACTATGGCATTTTCTAAAATCTATAATCTGTTTGTAAGAAGATTATTAAAAAATGGGAAATTTACACACATGCCACAAAATTTTTAGTAATTTTTATGTAATTACGTATTTAAACACTAAAAATTTGATATTTATAATTATAGCACTATTGTGTCATAAATTTATTTATAAAAATGTGTATTTCAATTTTTAAAAATTATTAATAATGATAATTTTTATGTGGTATTATAAATTTGAGTGTTATGCTTGTAAATATGAAAAGTTAGGTGAGATATGCACAATTTTAAGTAATTGCTCCCAAAAAATTTGAAAATTTACATACATAACATTTAATATCTATGTATTTACATGTCCAAAACATTATATATATATATTTGTTTTTTAAAGTTAAAAAATAGTGATATTTTTGATGTGATATAAAAGATTGGGGTGATATAAATATTAAAAGTAAAATTTAGGTATCAGATATGTAAATACATAAAAATTATGTGGTTTGTATGTAAATGCACCCAAAAATTTTTGCTAACACAGGTCGGCTTTTAATTCTTCTAAGTTGGGACCATGAATTTTGTAGAATATGTAATTAAAGCGCTGCAGCGGCAGACATACTCGCAGTTTCATGCAATTGATAAACTCCGAAAGATTTTGGGGCTACTGCTCTAGATTATATGATATGTTAATATCTGTAATAATTTAAAATTGGTTATGGTTGGTCAGCAATCTCCTTCATAACATCTAGAGTTTCGATTCACAGATTCCCTCTTTCTATGGAGTTATTTATGATGGTTTTTTTTAATTATTCTCTTCACTACAAAGCAAAGATCAAACTTGTTGAATCCAAAAATGTTTGGGAAACACGCCTAAGATATAAAGTGTTCTGTAAGGGAGAGAGAGAGAGTACAGTAAAGAACAGTAAAAAAGAGTGTCATCCTTTTATTAATGATATAGACTCACTATATATAGGCATACATCCTTGCAATATAAAAGTAACATTAATCCGCTCATCATGGATTTGTCAAAGAAAATTTTTGGTAATTTACAGAGATATTTGTTTATAATAAAATTAGAAGACTGATACGATCGACAGGAAATTCATTGACCGACTTTTGAGCCTTGGCTCTGTTGATATCTGATCTGAGTGGATACTCCTTATCGGTTGTCCTGATGGCCAATCATCGCTTTGTGAGAGATCATCTGACGCGCTCTATCGATCTCTTAAACGATGCGCTCCCTTTGCTAGTGTCCAAATCAGACTGTCATTTACGAGTTGCGTTTGATGGGTCATATCTTCTTCCTGAGCCGTCTATTTGTCTTGAGGTTCGTGCTAATATATATATATATATATATATATATATAT